TCGTCTTTTTTGTATTTTCGTCGTGAAAATGAGTGAGACGAGCGGTAACGAAAATGCAGTAGTGGGTTGCACTCCTCCTAACTTAAAACGAGGCAAGATCGGCGATGGAAAACTTGTTGCCGGCTATTTTTATTAATTTTAGGGATAAACGGTGCTTGCAGGAGTACAGAGCTCATGAATATCACCACAAAGGACATAGAAAGTCATAAATATATTTATATAATATTATACTTTGAATATTAATTAATTTTGTTTCTTCTCCTTTTTTTATTATACATCTTCCTCTCTTTAGTTTTTTATTATTTCCTCGCATTGTTGGAGAAAAGCACTATACTCGCCTTGTCCGGAATGGCGATTGCTTGACTCGTATATACTACAATACAAGGCCTCGCTAGCGTTCGGCCTAGTAACTCACTCGTCCAGCACTCCCTTACTTCCCGGCCTCTGCAGTAAGGTACTAATCATTTTGACAAATTATACTTATGTAATTGTCAAGGTGGTACATATGCTTAATATAGAAAGATAAAACATTTCTCAACATTTTCTTAGTAATATCCGATTATAGACGAAACTGTCGGTAGAATATTGTGTATAACCATATTTTCAAAAATTTTACCCATTTCATATTATTAGGTCAATGACCATTACTTGCGTGACAGGCATTCGATAAAGGAAATAATGTTTTCAATATGCTTAATAGGCAAGAAATGAAAAATCTACCTTCAACTGTTTTAGCTAAAGACCAAATTAGTTGAAAATAGATTTTTCTATGAGACTGGCAGAGTTTCTCCTCAGGAAAGCCAAGTTATTCTATAGCAGAAGTAGCTGCCAGTTTTTTGGTTACCAGAGGCTTCAACAATTTTACTAAGATAAGGTTTTACAGATTGATATCTTGACACTAAAAAACAAAAATTAATATTATAAGTCAATTGTCCGTCAACATAAAATAAGCCAATATGTTCTCGTAGAGTTTGCTTTGATTGTTTTTAACAAAAAAACTAGACCACTGTACTCAACTTCCCTTCTAAAAATGAACCACAAACATTACGTCGAAAAGACAATTGCTTGCAAGATAAAAGGAGCACAGGGCAATAAATCTGTTGGTACATTTTGTACTTTTTAACGGCCCCAGGAAACCGCATTTTTATTCAAAATACCCACTTAGTAAATAAAATATGTCCTCTAGTGGAACAACGGACAGAGTCTGGGTGGAGATGGGCCTTTTCCCGCTTCCTGTGCCTTTCCTTTTTGTTTTTTTTTTTAATGTTTGTTACAAATTCGTGAAACAGATGCGAGGGGCTCGAAGCGTACACTTGCCGTCGTAATGAGGGTAGCAATTTCGACGTTCAGAGTTCGTTTTGATTACCGTTCCTTTAAGATTAACATTTTATTAATATTTACAGTTAATAAACTAAGTATAATTTTGTCTGTCCGTGAAATGAGTGACTTAAAAATATAAGTAACCACCAAAAAAACATTGAATTCGTTTTAAAAACTTCATTATTTAGTTACTTGGTCAACATTTTTTAGCAGTTGTCTAATCATCAAAATATCAAATGTTTTGTTGGATATCAGAATGTTCCAATATTGAGTATCATACTCAATATTTTTTTGTGAAATTACTCCACTACTTTGTTATAATTATTAATACGAAAAACGAACACTTAGAAAAAATTCCTTCGATCGATGACGGAATACTTTCATAGATTTCTCATACATGGCGCTACGATTAAAAAGTAGTAAAAACCAAACAAAGATGCGACAAACAAGTACAGAAAAATTCGTGAGGTCCGCTGGTTCGTTCCGTGGCTTAGTTGGCATAGCGTCTGACACGGTTTGCTAAAAGACGTCGGTTGGATCTGGCCGGATCGAAGGAATTTTTTCTAAGTGTTCGACCTTTGTATTAATAATTATATCAAGATATTGTTTGAAGCATTTACATAATATCGACTTACTTTAATGTAACTATAAGTCGAATAACGATTTTATCAAATTTTCTTTCGGTACCCTATTACTGTTATTAAGTGTAACAAAACACCGGGTTTGTTGAAAATCGTTGAGTGAAATGTTTAGTTGTGGAAAATTTGCATTTTTTCGATTCCTGTCCGAACGGGGCACGACGATGACTCGACAAAATAAAAATGAGTTGGAACTCATTAGGTTATTTGCTTAACTTCCTGACGTTTAAAAATATTTTGTTAATTTTTTACAAAAGCTAGTACAGCACCGTGAATTTGAAATTTAGTTAGATACTGTATTGTATTGTACGTGTGGCGGACTTTGGGACATTTTAGTTCTTTTTTAATTTTTAAAAATATTATTGTCATTGATAATTCATTTACGTTTGAATTTTAATAAATTTATTGTGAAGTAATCTCCCGCAGACTTAGTTTATTCACCACGGCTAGAGCTGGCTGGAAGAGATCTCTTCTAGAGATAAGCTCACCTTTGTATATGTCCTTTGTAACTTGTAATGTTTAATGTCATTTATTTGTGCAATAAAGAATTATAAATAGCAAGTTTTTAAAACAGCCATAGTAGCCTAATGGTTTGACCTACCGCCTGTCGAACAGAGGCCGTGGATTCAAATCCGGTTTGAGTTTTACGGAAATAATGTGCGCAATTTAATTTGAAATTTACCATGAGCTTTTTTTGAGACCTGCACACATCTGCAAAGCAATTTAATGATGTGTGTGAAGTTCCCAATACGCATAGGGCCCGCGTGGGAACTAAGTCCACATCCTCTCACAAGGAGAGAGCTCGGGACGGGCATCCTCTCACAAGGAGTGAGCTCCCGAGCTCGGGAGCTCACTCCTTGTGAGAGGATGCCCGTGCCCAACAGTGGGACTATATATAAGTCTACTATTATTATTATAGCAAGTTTGAGCTACTATCTATTTCGATTGTTTTAGTAGATGAAAGTTAAACCTTCATGGAAATAAAAAAATCGAGATTTCTGCAAAATACATAACAGGACCCCAGCAAAATGTATACCAACAAAATAAGACAACTATCCTGAAAAATAATCCAAGCCTTTTGGCCCCGCCCACCGCGCGAGAGGCGTGGCTAGACTCCACCCACTAAATTCCTCATACCCCAGAAATGGGGAAAATCGCCGTTTTACCGTTTCTTATATAATATTTTCCCAAGGGTGGTGGGTGAACATTTGTCTTTAGGAAGGCCAGGGATTATTAAATTTACCCAGACAAGATGGCCGCTTATTTATGTGCCTCGCTGTACATACGCAGCTATGTGCCGTGTCCTCCTTTAGATAAAAGCTTTGAGAGTTATTTGGTGAATTTCACGGTAAAATTAAAGTTGGGTGATGGATATTCGACGATCCCATTCCGTGCGCTCGTTCCAATACTAGATACACTTGAACATCTTAAATATTGTAGGAAATAAGAGGTTTTGGCCTTGAAATAAGGCGCTTCTTTAACACCATTTTGTTACCAAGGAAAATAAGATGTTTTGAGGATCAAAATCTATATCTCATTAGAATTTAATGCGAATAATAAAATGCAGGTTTCATCACGGTTATCTCCTTTACGGTTAGCAAGAGGTGCCAGCACTCGAACTGTGGACTTCTTAACCGAGCTGGCACTATTAACTCATTTATTTTTACCTATGATTATAGTTTCCGCAGGTCATGGAGCAAGGCATTGACGAAGGAATTAATGTATTTCCTTGGAAGGAAATACATTAATTACCACACGGTAATGTGTACACAACAATCGCCCAAGTTCAGAGATGGGCAAGGCCCTGAGTTGTAACCCGACGTTTTGTTAACGCCGGGTTTAAATCGGGTTAAATCCCCTTAATGCCTGAAATCGAAGGAAAGTACTATTTACAACTAAATATTTGTTGTATATCGAGTTTTGTTCAAATTTAATGACATTATTATAAAATGTTCATTGCTTTCTGACCTAGACGATTCTATTTGCCTTCCTACTGAATCGAATTGCTGGAAAATAGCATTGAAATAAATCGATTCGTTACATATCGTATCCACTTGAATCGGTTTTCATAAAAATCGAGTCGTATTGGACATCCTTAGTTGTGAGAATCCTCAGGGTAGTACTGCCGCCTTACCTATTTCTGCCACCGAGCAGTAATATGAGCATTACTGCGTTCCAGTTAGGTCTGAACCTTACGATAACTCAGTTGTTGTATTTTAGGCCTTTATGTTCAGGCCACACAGAGGCGGCCGCGGAAGCGTTCCGGGCCGCTTCTGTGTGGCCCGAGCATTAGTCTTAAAATGTAGGTATATAAATGGATTTTCATTTTTCTTATAATCTATTTCACCGACTAACTCCGTAAACGCTGTTGGACAACGACATCGTGTCCTAATCGGAATCGAACGTTTAGCTCGGAATGTTCTGAATAGCCGGAAAGCGTCCTTCGATTCGAGATATCCAATTGAACGATTCGGCTAAAATATCGAAAAGTTCTGAATCGGAGTCCTGGCGAAATAACAGGCACATGGGACTTGTCAACTTATGTCTCAGGGTGACAGGCGCAATGGCAGTGCCCCACAGATCTTTACGATTTATAGCGCCGAGTGGCACTGCAACTGTTATGGACAAGCGTGTAGCTTACCATCGCTTTCGTCTAAAAAAGAATTTTTATTCGCAATTTGTAGTAATTAGTATGGAATTATAACAAATTCTGTATTCGCCGTTTCTGGTCACGACTTTAGACAGAAATGGGTTAAAACACGGCGCTTCGAGTAAAAACCTGGCTGTAACCAAGGCTTATTGATTGGGACCCACTGCCCATCTGCCCAAGTGTTATCTGACATTATCATGGGAATTAAGACAACATTTCTCATGCTGTAATATACGCTATGACACTCGATACCTTTACCTCAGTTACCTACGACTGCAATATACATACCAATATAACATGCGTTACATTGCCTTCTTTCGGCAAATTAATAACATCTGGTGACATAAATACTGTATTTCTAAAAAATAATGTCGTTACGAAAATAAATGTGCGTCCATTTTCCCACATGAACTGTCATGGCGATACTATAAAAGCACAGTAATGCGTGTGCACCTTGCACTCGAGCGACGACGCGCGCGCAGGACGTAAGTTTCCAAACCCTTTTCTATCACATACGCCATTTTGTTTTCAGTCCAGTTTTGGGCAAATAGCCACGTGTCTTTTCCCACTTATTTTCTTAATAATCAATTGAAAAAATTGTGCACTGTAAAACTAGAAAGAAAAAGCCTTCCGTACACAAAAGGAT